TGAGGGTATAGGATTTGGAGACATGTCATGGTCTGACTTGGTCTGACTGCCAGCACTTAGCATGCCCAGGAGCGGTCAAAAACAGACATGAGACGCCAGCTGCACTATGCGCGCCCAAAAGCGCGACGTGATACGGGTTGCCAAGTATGTGTTTGAATGCCAGCCGCGTTTAGCATGCCCAGGCGCGGTCAAAAACACATGATACCGTTGCCAAGCATGTTGTACTCAGCGTGCCCATGAGCAGTCGAAAGCAGATGTTATTATATTAAAGGAATAACAGAATACAGTTTTCTCTCAAAACTCAGGGTACACGAAATTATTCAGGCTGCGTGTTTATTGCCACCCATGTGTTGGGAGTGTAGGGTAGGGCGGATCTAGTTGTGAGTGGCGCTGTCATGGCGCCTGAAGCCCCAAAAGGTGTCTTGGTGCTTTTTGATTTGCGTGCTCTCCTGTGCTCTCATGTGTTTGCTCTTCATGTGTGGTGCGGTCTCATATGTTTGCTCTCTAGTGTGCGTTTCCAGTGCCAACAGCTTGCTGCTTGCCATATATAATATCAGGAACAGGACCGATTTGCTAAACATTGTTTGTCCATGACAACTACTTACTACTACTACCACGCCAAATGTCCTTGATGCGCTTTGAAGAACAGAGCGCTGTTGTAGTTGATCCTGTCCACTTTCTCCTTCTTGGTGTGACTTCCTGTTTCTTGCCGGCATCGTGTCCATGGATGCTCTCACACTGCTGTTTCATTTGTTCATTGGTCATCGCGCCTCCACGCCAAGAGCCCACCGCTACCACGATTGCGAGCGACGCGATTTGTGCTAGTGTGACTAGTAGATGATATCCTAGTGCGGTTTCCAGTGTGGTCGTGTGATTCAACTTATCTGTTTCCTTTTTGCCTGCCCGAGGCTTGACAGAAAGAGTCAAACCAAAAGGCTGAGGTAAGACCCAGTCCCTGTATTTACCTGACGATATTATTCTGTTCCAGGTTGAATACAAACGGTTACAACGTTTGGAATAACTAACGTTAAACGGTTAAACGGTTGCAAGCTTTTAGCAGAGCAGCCATGGCGGATGAAAGCGCTGAACTACCTGGGCGGCGCCCGAAGTCTTTTGAAACGGACTCTATGGGGTACACCGTGGACAACAAAACTGACGCAGAGCTTCAGCGCGACAATGCGACAGAAGTGGAGCAGCGGTCAGGCCAGGGACAACGTGGTAGGGGCGCTGTGGACGCAGCAGTTTCTTCAAGCGCTTCTTCTTCGCTTGCGTGTGATGGTGAAAACAAGCCTACTTCTGGGCGGTCAGTCCCGCCAATCCCAGATCATGTTCGTGGCATTGGGGAGGCCGAATGGAAATCTATGACAGGTCGAGAACGTGAAAAGCTGATGAAGGGAAGCAAACGACGCAGAGGGGGGCAATTTTTAGAGTATTACGATTTGTATTACCAGCCCATGAAATTCAAGCTGGGTAGACAGTAGCTGGAATAGTTTGGTTCTTGCGCCCACCAAATTGCTGCGGGCTTGCCTTTGGTACAGCGTGCGCGCCCCGCAAAGAAGCGACCAGCGACCAGTGTGGAATAGCGCTCCCTGTTTGTGTTTTGCAGATAACTAACTTTTGGAGACAGCAAAAAAGAGTGGACTGTCACACTCAAGAGATTTGTTTCACGAGCACTGTTTCTTAGGAATGTACAGCTTTGGTTAATTTAAGACGGGTGAACTTTCATGTTGACATGGCCTTTGTTTTTCAACGGAACAAACAGATCAGTGTAAACTAGATTAATTGGCTAAAGCGTCAGTGCTGCAAGGGCGGTGTGGCAGCGTTTGTGAGCTAGGCTAGGCAGTGCTTGCTTGGGTTGCGAGTCTCGATTTTTGCCTTGGGCAGCGCGCGTCCTTACGATCTTTAGCTCGTGTTGTGCAATGGTGGCCAAGTTCGCGCAGTTGAAGCGCTGCTCGCCTCGTGGTGCGGGAGCCGCGCTCAAGGGACACCAGAGATGGGTGAAGGCGCGCGTATTGCTCAACAGACTATTGGACTATATTGGACTTGACTTGGATTTTGTTCTTTGTTGAGTTGGTAGCGGAGGAGGGGCAGTTTTTCTTCCCTTTGGAAAATTGTGGACCTAGTTTTCCCATTGTTTGCTTGAACTCTCTTTCAACTTTGGCCTTGAGGGTGGTGCTCGGACTTCGCAAAAGCTCCTCGCGCTCCTGCGCTTGAAGGTGGACCAGGCCATCGGCAAGGACGTGATCCTCCACGAGTCGCCCATGGTGTCCTTCAAGTGGGTGGTGTCCAAAGCGCCCACTTACAAGGGACGACGTGGCTTGATCTTGTCCCGTCACTTGGTTTGCGTCAGAGACATCTGGCCTTTTTTCGTGACGTTTTTCGTGACTTGGTTGGTGTCTGAGCGTTCTTTCTTTGATGTGCAGTTCATGCTCAGCCAGGAAAGTCGCAGCCGAAGGATTGCATGGCCGCGCAGGAGCTGCAGCCGCCCGCGGTGACCTTGAACTTTGGAGCGCCGGTCGAGAAGAGGGGACAGGTGACCTATCCAGTGGAGTTCAATTCGCCTTCAGTGCGGAACGCAAATTTCCCAGGTGACGCTTGGGCAGGCAGTTTGCTGGAGCACGTCGCCCGCCAGCTGGACAAGAAGAAGCCCACTGCAGCGCCTCACCGTTGTCAGTATTCAAGTTGTTGTTATCTAGCGTGTAGTGTTCTCTTCCACAGATGAATCACTCATTTGGTCTTCATGCTGTTCATTGTTGAGGCAGAGGTTCTTTGGCACACAGTTCACTACAAGAAGATCCAAGTGAAGAACGTCCATCCCACAACCACCGTGGCAGACTTGGCGAAGCTTCGTGGACAAGCTCTGAAGAGCGTTTTGCTCCATGGGGCGTTGCCATAGCTAAGGAATGGTGATCTAGATTCTAGATAGCCTAGATTTTTTTGAAGCTGCCGTTCTCTCGGAAGTGCAAAGGACAGTGCTGCATGCTCTCACAAGTTGATCCTCATTATCATTAACAAGTGGGCCTCTTTAGTCCCGGCGTTGTGCTATTGTTTGACGTCTCGCAATGATGAACGTTGATCCTAAAGCATTCAATCTATGATGCACTCACTTTTTGTGGGCCTTTTAAGTCACAGTGTTGCGCTATGTTGCTAGGCCCACGCCGCCGGTTTTCCAGAATGGGGAGATCTATATAGATTGCAGTTCCAGAGTCAGGGCGCCACAGAAGCAAAGCCACATTACCTTAATAAATTGCAGGTGTGTTTACCCAAATCAACTTTGGTAGCCGTGTTGTTTGAAGACTGACTAGTGCACAGAGTAGACCGCCATGCTGGGGACTGGGGACAGATGCAAGATGTGGACGAGCTGTCTGATGGAACCATAAGCGCCGATGGTGGGCAATGTGACGCGGCCAATCTGACGGAGCCTCCTCGACCACCCTTGTCTTGCGCGGCAAGGCAAAAGCGCCAGAAGGTTGATGATGTCGATAGGTTTCATCAAGCCCAATCACGGCTGCTGGAAGTAACCAAGTCGAACTGCAGATGCAAGGCGAATTGCATCAAACCATTTCGCGACCCAGCCACTTTGACCGCTGTCCGCGCTGAACGGTTGAAGTTGCTTCAGATGGAGAAGCAAGCAGCTGACCGCGAGGCAGGGCAATCCCAAGGACACTTTATTCGGGCTGGTTGTTGTGAAGTTGTTGTTTGCACCGGAGCGGAAACGAGTGCCAGGTTTCAGGCATCAGGACTGAAATGAAGGCAGATCGCAATATGAAATTTTTCCTTGTTATACATTGTTAAGTAATATTATGTATGCCTATATTTAGTATACTTGTATATTGTTTTATTATGTTCTATCAATGTTGACAGGTGATTTGGATTGAAAATGGTAGGCCCATCAAAAGGGATATCCCTCAACCCTGGTGCCTTCCACATCGATGATTTTCAGGGTGTTTCTCTTTCTGGTAGTGAGATGTAGTAATGAGGTTTGGCACGCGCTCAAGATGCAAGACGTCGACCAGAGGGGGGGCTTGACTTTGAGTGGGCACCCAGTCTGCCAGCGTGCCTGGCGGTTGTTGCTTGGTGTAGGAAAGAGTCGATTTACCAGATTGAGGAATGCAATTGTCCAAGGGCGGGCAGACCCACCAGGAGATGGAAGGTATGGTGTCAAGAGGCACACAACACTCATTCCGAGTGACGGTGCGCGTGCAGCAGTTCATGAATATTTGACGAAGCTGTACCACTCGACAGCCGAGCCTTTACCTGAGGGCAGACAGGCTGAGGATGCGGTGGAAATTACAAATCGAGCGCGGCGAGTGAAGCGACGGGGCAAACGCCCGCGACACTTTGTAAAGCGGGAGGAGAGGAGTTCTGGTTTTGCGCCAACCGTCAAATTTCTGCCTCCAGGAACTATTGGCTTGTATTGGGACATGTGCAAGGCAGACAATCCAGACTTGCGCATCAGTCGAAAGGTCTTCACCCGAGCGGCTGGGACTTCAAAACTTTTTTCGCTTTGTGAACTTTCCCACCTCAATGCCTCATCCAATTGCCCTCTGTCGCAAGGTTTGGGAGGAGAACTTCAGAGACCACTTGGTGATCCGGCCAAAAAGCCAGCACAAGGCGTGCTCGCTTTGCATTCGCTACAAGCTTCTGCTTCGACGTTTGCAGTACCAACCAGAAGCCAAAGCTGAGCAAATGCGCTTGTACCGAGCGCACTTGGAGAAGCAGTACGCCGACCGGACCACCTACTGGGGCAGCCGCGCGCTTTCTCGCATGGGATTGCAATCCACTGGGGAGCGCCTCATTGTACTTACTCTCGATTCTGTAGATCATGCCAAGTTTGCAGTGCCAAGGGATTTATCGATGCAGTCGAAGTGCTTCTCGAATTTTGTCAGACCGTCCCTTTGCTGTACTGGTGTCTTGATACACGGCTACGGTGTGGTGCTAGTTCTCGGGCAGCCGTTCACACGGCAGGACAGCTCGTGGACATGTGACATCATCGGGTATTGCTTGAACCTTTTGTCTCAGCTCCCCCCTGACCAATGTAATCTGCCAGCGTCGTCCATAATACTTCAAGGAGACAACTCCTCCAAAGAACTGAAGAACAACAGTGTGATGCGTCTGTTATCAGGAGCTGTGGCCTGCCGGAGGGTGCAAAAGGCACAGTTGCGCACCCTCCAGGCAGGCCACAGCCACGAAGATCTGGACCAGTTTTTCTCCTCGCTATGTGACAGAATCTCATCATCCAGCTCGCTCCATACACCAACAGATTTTGTTGACAATTTGCAATCTTGGTTGGCAACCGTGCGTCCTCTAGAGCCCATGAAGAAGGTTGTGTTGCTGGATCAAGTCAGGTCTTGGCGTCTTGCTTTGATTTTGCTATAGTAGTTACTTTTTATGTCCGTGACAGGTTGTTGATTGACGCTTTCTGATTTCTGATGTCTCCTATTTTCTAAGGGTTAGGTTCCAAACCTTAGGGCATCCTTTTGAACTTGTGCACCACACTTTTTAGCCGTCGGAATCCGCAAAGGAAAGACCACTTGCATTGCCTCATGCATTCAAACACCTTGAAGGGCGTGGGTGGACCCGGTGCACCACACCTGTACAGTTTTGAGAGAGCGGCTGACACAGGACAGGAGCTAAAACTAAAGCCAGCTCTCATCAGCCGCCCAACTCCAAAACTTATCATTTGCATTTGCTGTGAAAGAATTGCTTGAAAGGGAATAAAAAAATATGTTCAAGCCTTTCGGCCATGAAAGTTAGCCTTCACCGTGTTGTCGTGGCCCAGGAAGGCTCAGTAGGAAATTGCCACCAGAATCAATTCCAGAATTGTTTATTTGTGATTTTCACTCTTGAGTGAGGGTGCCTTTCCCAGGACTGGCAAATGAGGTTGTGAACAATGCTTTCTGGAGAAAGCGAGGGCTGCCTGATCTTTCAGGCGATGACGTGATTGTGAGGCCACGGGCCTGCAAGTCAAATTGCTCATTGTATTTCATTTTGTTGCTGCCAAGCAATGTTGATTTCGCCTGTAAGATTGTCTGCAATAGTTGTTGCTTGATTTGCAGCCGAGGTTCAAACAGTATATATCCGACGAAGAGTGGAGACCTACAGTACTTTGTCATTTGCCCAGGATTGTCGTCAAAGATGCTGCGGCCTTGGCCCCACAAGGCCACTTGGGAGGGCAACTGTTGTCGGTGATCGGGCTCCTGTAACTCGATGTTGAAACTTTCACCAACCATTGACTAGTCTAAGGAATACGCAGAGACTTCTTTTTTCAATGGTGAACAACCCATCCATGGTTAGTTGAGGTTATAGTTACAATGAGAGGTGGATTTGAAGCTTTACTCCAACACGTGCTTTCAGTAATGTCCGGTGTCGGCCCTTGCCAACCTTTATTGGTTGTTTGCACCGCTGCGACGCAACTAAGTTTTTAACAGAGATCGAGCGCGCAGAGATGATGATCCATCTGCCGACCCGGACAAGCTTGGCCAATACGCCCAGCGCTTGCGAATCTTGGCCTTGTTCAAGGACACTTCGGAGTCAGTCATTTGGGACTAGTCAAAAGACGATTATCAATTTAAAACATGGAAGAAAACATGGAAGACGATTGTTTTTTTGAGGGTCTGATGCTTGCAATTTTCCACTTGGATTGGCCTGCAAAAAA